TATATATAGATATATAAACATTTTGTATTTTATTAGGTGATAAAATTCATTCAAGCCATACTTAAGACTTTATTCTAAACAAAATCTAGTTCTAAAAAATTTAAAATCTAGTTCTCGAAGAAGTTCGTGATATATTAAATCTGTATTTGAAATATTAAAGAAAATGTAATATTAGAGTGTCCCATAAGTTTATTTCTCACCAGGCTAGGAATGACTTTAACTGGTTATTTTTGTATGAACATGCAGACTTATTTATGACATTTTCAGTTATCCCAGAGCTCTTTTAAAATACATTTTGTTGGTGACATAGTCTCTTTTAAAACTTTTTTTTAATATGAATAGCCAAAGGAAGCATTTCCGGCATGTTATGCTTTATTGCTTTAAAAAAGGTGATAGTGAAAATGATACTGTAGACGAGATTTGTACCGTTTACGGGAATAGTGCTATAACTGTTATGACCATTCGCAATTGATTTAAGAGATTTAGAACTGGCAATTTTGACTTAAAAGATGAAGCGATTGTTCAACAATAACGAAGACGGATTTTATCAAAGCCATGCTTGCTGAAAATCCGCGATATAGTGTGCAAGAGATAGTGAATGCCACTAATATTTCCAGGAAAATAGTAGATAATCATCTGACCAAAATAGGATATCAATCGATATGAAGTTTGCGTTCCATAGCTATTGACGGAGGTTGACTTTATGAACCGCGTCTTTATGTGCCTTTTCCAGCGACATAAAAGACATTCTTTTTTAAAAAGGTTTGTCACTGGAGATTAAACTTGGATTTTGTATCAAAATATGCATCGAAAACGCACGAGAAAAGTTGTTACAGTTTGATCGAGACATTCTATCGCATCTTCTACACTTCTCAGATCTTATTTTATCTGAGTATTACTTGTTCCTGTTATTAAAAAAATTCTCTCCATGATAAATGATTCCAATCCGTAAGCGAAATAAAAACGCACTTCGAGAAATATTTTGCAAATAAACTCCAATTTTGGAAAAAGGGAATAATGAAGTATATATCATACCTTGTTAAGAAGAAATATAAATAAATAAAATTTATATATTCAATTATATATTTATTTAAATTTATATAATTTATTTCAAGTGTATTTTATTAATATTTATCGATATATGCTCTGTTATGGTAATTTTTTTTGTTTATATTGTATAAAATATTATTTGAAAACACTAGAAATATTAATTTTTTTATTATCCATTTTAAATCATGTAAAAATAATAAGATAATAAGATAATGAGATAATTATGAAATAAAGATAATTATTTATTTTATTTCGTTGATAACTTTGATCTTGATGTATGTTGTCAAGGACGTCACTTTTTCTTTGTAATTTAATCAGCTAATATTAATTTCTTACAATTTTCAGAGAGAAATATTTGTAAAAAAAAGTTAATTTGTCCAAAAGTGATTTTAGATATATATATATATTATAATATATATTATTTATATACAATATATTATAAATAAAAACGTAAACGAACTTTGCCTTTCTTTGCATTTCCATAAAAAATCTAAAATCACTTTTATTATATTCATAATAAATAATAAAAAATATCGTAAATATTCACTCTTAATTTTAACAAAGAGATTTCAATGCTTAATATTGAATATACATAATGGTAAATATATTTTTAAATATTCAAAAAATTAAAAGAATCCATCTATTATATATATAGGAAAAAGTTATTCAAAATGATTTTGAAATAAAGTCATATCAAAAAATAAATATTTAATATTAAAAACACATTTTAAACATAAAATAATTAATGTTCCAGTTATATATTGATATTTATTACTTAAAATTTAGAAATATTAGTTTTGTCCACGATTTTAATATCTTCCATTATACAATGTGATTAAAGAAATTATGATGAAAATATTGTATATATTGTATATATTTGACATATATTTTATATTGATATATATTTTTTAAATTATTTAAGAAAATTTTTATAATTATTGAAATACATTTAAAAATATAAAAATATATTTCCTAAAAAAAAATATCATTTAGAATTACATATTTTCAATTCAAAATTCGATAATATGATCATAATCAAAGTTATTTGAATTAAGATGTTTTAGATTAATAATAATAATAAATAACAATTCATACTTTTAAAATTTTTTAAATTTTTATTTTTTTTATAATAGTTAAAAAACTGTTCTTTTTAAACTGAATCTTTTTCTAAAATGATTAAAAAATGATTTTCAATTAACTATTACTACTATTATAGATATTTATAATAATTATTCTATCTCCATAGAAATATTCAATATACATAAATTCAATACAGATTGTTTAGATTTGTCAAATATAATATAGCGAATATAATTCAATAACAAATATGAAACGCTATCATCATAACTCGAAAAATCTGTGTTCTGTGATTGAATAGTTATAAATATAAGCCAATTATATTTTATTTATTTATTATATTATTATATTATTATATTATATTATTTATTATATTTTATATTTATTTTAAATTATTACATAATTTTTTGTTAATAACTTGTTAACAAAATCAAAAAAAAAAATTTTGCAAAAAAAAATGTTGTTTAAAATTGTTTCAGGAATTTACAATCAATAATTTATATATTTATAAAATGTTATGTATATTTTTAAAATGCTCTATGTGAATTCATTTGATAGAAAGATTGACTTATAAATTTAGATTATCATAGTAGATTGGGTAAATATGTACCTGTTTGTTATGTTTATCTGATAATTGAATATATTCATCAGAAAATATCGAACAAAAATATATTTAGTCACTATGTAACCTTAGCTTTAAAAATAACATTAGATCTATATTGTTTTGTTCATAATAACGAATTTAAATTTTTTGTATCACGTCTAAATGGCCATCCTTATGATTCCGTTTATTAGACAAATTGTAAATACAAATGTAATACTCTGTCAAATATGCTTCGAAATTGCTGAATTTATATAGAAATAACTTCTAAAGTAATTGAGTCCTAAATTTTAAATTAATATTTTTAAATTTTATTTATCAAAAACTATTAGAAGATATAAAAAAAAGTTAATAATTTTTTATACATTATAAAATTATGGTTCATTTAAGTCTATTATTATATATAAAATGTTAAAAATTAGTAAATATTAAATTTGAAGACACAAATATTATGCTATTCCTATTATCATTAAATATAATTCAATTTTCCTTTGGTAAATTTTCATAGAAAATTCATACACATTATCTCTATAGATATGACAATATTTGGTTTTGATGAGTTAATAATTGTTAATTTGTTTAAAAATTATTAGAAAATAATTTTCTAATAGTTGTTAATTTTATTTTCTAATAATTTAAAGTTTCAAGATGAGTAGGAATTTGTATAAGAGAAATATTTAATATTTAATATAATGTATAATTTAAAAAATATAATTTCAAATATATAATAATAATAAATATTTTATACACGAATAATAGTAATAACATCAGTGGTAATATGTTTTCTTTTTTTTTTTCGAGGAAAGGAGAAAACAATCATTTCGCAATGCATGATTAAAAGATTTAAATTTGATGCTCTAATTTATAAAATGCAATAATGATTCATACAAACTTAAATATAAAATTTGCATTATTATTTGCACAATTATTTATTTAAAAAATTATTATTCAAGAAAAAGAAAATTATTGAAATATAAAAATTTAATTAATCATAATATAATAAATAAATATAATTAAAAGATTCCAAAATAAAAAAATTTTAATACATTATTCATTTTCTAAATATTTTAGATTTTTAAGATTATCAAGTAGTCCATTTTTTCTGCATAACAAATGATTTATATAGAATTGAATGATGAATATGAATATAAATATGAGTAATGAAGAAAATTTACTTCCTTTGTTATTGGAATCAAAACTTCAAAAACAATAAAAGGAATTAAGAATTAAAATTCAAAAAATAATGAAAAAAATAACAGAATTTTATTTTAATATTCAAAAATTTTATTATCATTAATTTATTAAATTTTATTACTATCATTATTAATGAAAACATTTAAAAAATATTGTTTAATACAAAATTTTTATATCTATTATAATTTTCTAATTTTATAATCTTTTATAATATCAAAAATATTTGAATGGGATTGAATAAAAATTAATATAAAAATATTTATTATAAAAATACTTAATAATATAATATGATATACATAATAGATAATTTAATATGAATAATTTATAATATATGAATTATAATATATGAATACATGACAAATAATTATTATATATATATATATCTGTTATATTATAATATAATATAACAGAGATTACAGAACAGATAGAATATATTAAATAAATATAATGAAATTTATAAAATTTTAGTTTTATATGGCAAATGTTATTTTATTTTTCTAGAACTGAAATGATATTATTATAATTAATTATAAATTAATTATTATAATTAAATATAAATAAATTTTGCTATAAAATTAATACAATTGAAAATTTTAAAGAGAAATTAATTTTCAAAAATATTGCTAATATAATTTTATATTTAAATTTTATATTTTTATATTTAACATTATTTTATTCTAAAGATATTTTTCATAACGCAAATAAAAATAAATCTTTATTATCTATTTATATAGAAATAGATTAAAAATAAAATCAATAAGTACAATTTTAAGAATTTTAAAATATTAATAAAAAGAATTTTAAAATATATAAAAATTTTATATTTAAAATTTATAATATTATATTTATAATTATATTTAAAATATATAAAAATTTTATATATAAATATATAAAAAGAATTTTAAAATATTAATAAAAATATTAATAAATATATTAGAATTATTTAATAATCTATTAAATCGTCATTATTTTAAAAAGAAATAGAATATAAAATAGAATAGAATAAATAGAATATAAAGTGATATTCGTTTTTATATTTCCTAATAATTAGCTATTTTCACTTAATTTATTTTTTGATATTTTGGAAAACTTTGTCTTAAACAAAAAGATAAAAATAACTTTTTTTATTTAGCACTATATAGGTATGATTTTTATATAAATTATAATCAATCAAATACAATATACAATGTATATATAAAAAACAAATATTTGATAAATTGATAAATATTCTATGTTTAATTCTCATATACAAATACAAAAAATGAATAATATTTAAAAAAATAAATATTTAAAAAAATTAATATTTGATTTTATTTAATTAATTTAATATTTTATATATTTCTCTTTCTTTCGAAGAGTAAATAAAATGATAATAACAGTAGGTAATAGTAAACAAAATGATAATAATAGTAAGTAATAGTAAACAAAAATGATTATTAAAAAATAAGTGTGTAAATTGTATATATTGTATTATAATACTATAACATACAATATATTTTATATTTTTATTAATTTTATATTTTTCATAATTTTGCAAAAATTTGTATTTGTTTATATATTCATGTATTATCTATATGTTCATATACATTATATAATATAGAATTATTTATCATGTATTCATATATTATAAATTATCTATATTAAATTATCTATTATGTATATCATATTATATTATTGTTTTTATAATTAATATTTTTATATTAATTTTTATTATTATTATTATTTTTTATATATCAATATTATATATATTTTAGTTTATTTCATACATAATAAAAAATTTTCATTTTCAATCATTTTTAAAATATTTCCAAATAATTTCATATTGATCTGGTCGCACTAAAATCTCATAGTATTACATAGTATTATCATTAGCTTCAAATCAAGAGTCGCATCATGACGACAGATAATATAATGTCACATATTTTTCTTTAGAAATTCGCTAAAGGAGAATTGATTTAATATTAGAAAGACTAGCTTAGGCGTTTGATAAGTTATATTTTCTCTATTATATATATATATATATATTTTTTTTTTTATATATATATATTTTTGTTTCTAAATTTTTATAAATCTATGAATATAACATTGATAAAAAAAAAATGATTTTTGCAACTAAAAAATATATTGTGAAAATTTGTTAGAATTGGATTTTTGTCAAAAAACTAAAAAAAATATATGTATGAAACCGATTTCTATTCTATATTATATTAAACCAAAAATTTTTGTTTATTAATATTTAAATAATTTCAATTAAAATAATATGATATAATAAATATAATTAAACCAAAATAAAATATATAAAAAAAAATTAACTCAAATTTATTTTTTAATAATTTTCTCACTAAAACAGAATTAAAATTCAATAGTTTTAAATTTTAGTTTTATTATTATTTTTTGTTATTTGACATTATAATTATAATTAAAATTGTCATTATTATTTGTTTTTGTAAAAAAAATATTCTTTTATCGATATAATTTAATAATTTAAAATAATTTAAAATCAATATTATAATTAATACCGTTCAAAGAAAATAAATTAGAAATTTTATTTAATTTATTCAAATTAATTACATCAAATTAACATAAAATAAACTGTTAATCATTTAAAAGAAGTTGGTAATAGTATATCAAATTAATCATTTAAATAAAGAAGTTGGTAATAAGTATTGAAATATATAACTATTTATAGTTACAGCCATTTGTCGAATAAAACTCTAACCTATAGTGGAAAATGATTGTGCGTCGGTACGAATATTGTGTTGGGATAAAAAAGACAACAATAAAAAGTCATAATTCTGCAAGCAACGCGTAACTAAATTTAGAAATAATTTGAGAGATAACAGAATTTAAATCGTCATTATTTTAAAAAGAAATAGAATATAAAATAGAATAGAATAAATAGAATATAAAGTGATATTCGTTTTTATATTTCCTAATAATTAGCTATTTTCACTTAATTTATTTTTTGATATTTTGGAAAACTTTGTCTTAAACAAAAAGATAAAAATAACTTTTTTTATTTAGCACTATATAGGTATGATTTTTATATAAATTATAATCAATCAAATACAATATACAATGTATATATAAAAAACAAATATTTGATAAATTGATAAATATTAATAGGATTGAGAGAAAGAATTTAAAAATTATTTCACGATAAATATTGTCTTGGATATGCTTAGTAATGTCATCCGAAAATAGTGTAGAATCTTTAGGAACATTACAATGGGATATAATGGAATTAGCCAATCATTTGCGTCAAGAACGCTTATTTGTTACTTCAGAACAACAAAATTTACAAATACTCAATGAAAAGGTAAGTAATAATAAAAAAAAAAAGATTAAAAATAAAGACAATATATGGTAAAACTGACTATATTTCCTTTAGGTATTATATGCATCATCAAATTTGGCACAACAAGCATGGATTACAGCACAACAGAGAGTTAATCTCAATCAATTGATAATGTCTAAACCATATTGTACACCAGCATCTTGTTGTCAAAAAGCAAATATATTGGAAAATTCAAATTTTGTTGATGTATATAAATATTTGCGTTATCAGACGTGTTTATTATATGGGGAATTTTTAGGTGCTCTTAGAAAATCTCCAAAACTACTTGCAATGTGTTTAGTTGAAGGGGACAAATTATTACCAGATTCTGTGCAAGCTGTAGTTCAATCATTAGCAGCAGGTTTATATGGTAGTTGTTTACTACCAGAAGATAAAATTTTGGTTTTAAAGTTATTAAAGCATCTAATGTTACTACAAATTGTACCATCAGATAATCCTCGAAGATTACTTAGATATGGCACATGTGCTTTCTCTAGATTTTATTCAGTCTTTCATGAAAGTCTATTTTCAGCTAAATTTTTTTTAACTGCTGCTTTACATAATCCTATTGTACAATTATTAATGGAAGATGAAATGTTTCTTGATATCGATCCAGATAAAGCACCTATAAGATTTCCTCCATCAGAGAGATTGAAGAAATTTGGCAAGGAAGGTACTGCTGAATATGAAGCGAAACTACAACGTTATAGACTCTGGACAATTAATTCTCTATTTCACATTACACAAAAATTTATAATCTGTATACGAGAAAATATGCATTGTTTTCCAAGCAGTATATGCTGGCTAGTTAGACAAATGGCAGGATTTTTGGGGAAAAATGGAAATGTTGATTCAAAAGAAGTACATGCAATGTGTACGGATTTAGTTTTTACATATTTTATATGTCCTGCAATAGTAAATCCAGAACCATATGGTATAACAGATGCACCTATTAGCTATGTTGCTCGATTCAATCTTATGCAAGTTGGACAAATTTTGCAAATGCTTTCTTTAATGAAATACCAGGCTGTTGACAGCAAAACATTTGATCTATATAAGAAATTCGATAAGGATTCTGTTTCTTCTATAATAGATGCGATGGTAGATGGTGCAACAGAAGATCTCGAAGACGAGCCTAATATCATCGATAACAATAAACTTCGAGGCTTTTCTCGTTCCGCTGCTTTATTTACGGAAACAGAATTGAATACATTAATTATATTTTTGCAAACTATAGCTACAGAAGCTACAATAGAAAATTCATCGTCCACTGCGTTTGACGCAAAGCAATTGATTGATATGCTTTCTCAATTACCTTCTGGTTCTTTAACTGCTAATAAATTAGCTAACAATATTTCTGTTGAAACTACTATCAAAAAAGGAGGTTTATTAGGAAAAGGTAATTATATTTAGGCATTGATTTTATTTTTTCATTTTTTTTTAATTTTTAATTATTTCTTTTAATTATTTTTAAATTTTAATTGTTCAATTTAGAAAAAAATATTTATTTCAAGAATTCAATCAATTTCATTCATGATACATTAATAAATATTTGATATATTTTGATATATTTTATTTGATATTCTAATAAGATTATTTCTCAAATACATATGTAAATATATGTGTAATGATTTTCATAAAATTTATTGATCTTTTTGAAAACAAAAAAAAATTTCCAAATATAATTTTTTGAATAAAAACAAACTTTATATTCATTTTTATATTAGTTTTTAAGAAAATCTTATATTTTTATTACGAATCATAATTGATTTTATTATTATTTTTATGTATTTCCGAAGAATAAATGTGAAAAATAAATAAAAAAAAAAATATTTAATTCAAAGAAAAAACAATTAATATTAATTTCTCTGATAGGAAAAGGTCGGGGAGTACGAGTATCGTCGTCATCATCATACTCATCCAATACAACTAATGATGGAGGGGATGAATTGAATGGTACTTCGACTCCTGAAGAAGAATCTATTGATAAAACTCCTCAAGATGTTCTTGTTATTCCTTTTGGACCAAATACAGGAGAATTTGTAGGTCTTTTGAGTGAACAAAAAGTATGTATTCTTTATTAATTGACGTTTTTATAATTAATACATAACCAACTAATATGAATTTCAATTCTATTTACTATGATATTTATAACTATATTCTTTTTTTTTTTTTAATATGACAGGTGTTATGCGCAGAACTTCAATGCAATATGGAAAATGGTCCTGTTAATTTGAATCTTTCAGATGATATATCTAATGTTCATGATAGACAAGAAAACTGTGGTGTTGAACGTACAGAAAGTCAAGAAAAAAAGACAAGATTTTCGTTGTCTCACGATGAAGGTATTGAAATATTAAAATTTTTTGATCTTTCAAAAATCAATTATTAAATTGAACTATTAAAATGAATGAAATACAATAATTGTTTATAATAAAAAAATTAATGAAATATATCAAACATAATTTATTTAAATAATATTGTTTTTTTTTTCTCTTTTTAAAAGAAATAATTTATTTGTAATTTTTATTCATAGTCATATGAAAGATTTAAATTAATTGAAAAATTATTTGTTCAAGAAGAAAAAATTATTATAAAAATTAATATAAAAAAAAATTATTATAAATTTATAAATGAAAAAAAAATTATTTATATTTTATAGAAGATAATTATTAATATTGAATTCTATTAGTTTTATTTGAAGGTTTTATCGGAAATACTTCAGATAATTTAGAAGCTGTATCAGAAGCTGCTTCAAATCACAGTGTTGCTTCTTCACTTGAGTTGGAAACAGAAGATCAAAATGATAATCTTTCAGATATGGTATCTGCGAGTGTATCGGGACGAGGAACACCTAATATATCAGGTTCTGTTAAATTTTTTTAATAGATTTATTAAGATAGATAATAAATATAAAATATATTTATAAATATAATAAATAATAAATATATTTATTTGATATTTGAATCTATTTAATCTAATTGAAATGAATTTAATGTAGGTCGTGATACTCCATCATCTCAAATTACTGAAGGAGATGAAGGACGAACAACAGGCGAAACTCGACAGTTAGATTTACCTCCATCGAATATCCCTACCAAACAAAGTCGATCCGAAATAGATGATAAATTTTGTAAATTTGAAATAAAAAAATTGATCGAAGGTATTTTGAAAAACAAAAAAAAAAATTTTTTTTATAAATATATTCTAGCGTGTATATTTTTAGGAGACGAAACTGTTTCGATGGTATCTGATACCTGGTCAACAGATGTTTTGGCTTCAGATAGTGAAATAATCGAACAACAAGAAAAAATATTATATCCCAGTTCCGAACAAACTTCTTCAGTTTTACCAACAACTTCGGAATCAATACCGCAAGCCGTGTTAGATGTTAGCGAAACTGCATCTGAAGCATGGAGTACTGATGTATTAGCTAGTGATTCTGAAAGATTAACAGAAGTTGATACAGATGATACAGCTAGCGTTGCAAGGTATATTTTATAATTAAATATTTTACAGATTAAAAACTGGAAAAATTGAAAAAAATATGAGATACAAAGCGAAAAATGTTGAAAAAGTTTGCGATTCATTATTATTGTCATATTTTAGATCCGATGACACTGCAAGATCTGAAATTGAAGTTGAACCTCGTAGTGAAGCTGAAACAACCGAAAAAACATTAGCACAGACGTTACCTCGTAAGAATGCTATTTCGTTAATATTTATAAAAAATTTCAATGCATCTTATTATTCAACATTTTTACTCAGTTATTAACATTATATTTTCTTCATCTTTAGAAAATGTTATAACAACTGAATGTATATCAACAACAAATCTTCAATCAATGTCGATAAACCAGGAAAATATACAATTTTCTACAACTATTCTTTCACCAACATCTCTTTCATCATCTTCTTTGAATGTAACTGGACAAAATATAAGGAGATCTGATTATCAAACAACCATATGTCGACAAGAATATATTGATAAAAATGCCAACAGCATTGCGGACAGTGCAGTAGAATACGATAAATCGTGTGAAGATAGATTAGTTCATCTCATAGATAAACTGCATATAGAAAATGGAAAAGATCAGATAGAACGACAAGCTTCTTCTATACATAATCGCATTACTGTAGCAGCTGTGACGCCAACTTTATTATTATCTAATCATATCTCATCATCCATATTGTCAAGCACAGAGAAATCGCACAATATAGTGAAAGAGGTTTGTTTTATAAATATTTATAATTATTTCTGCTATTTAATACTATTAATTATTATATTATGCTATTTAATACTAGTAATTATTATTACTAGTATTATTATTATTATTTTTCATTAATGTTTTATTATTATTTTATTTCTTTTTTTTTTATACATTTACATGATTTTATATAACACTTATTTAATTTTTAGATAGCTTAATAAATTAATGAACAACAATGAACGGCTGATACTGAATCATTTATAATTTATGAAATTATATACTTCAGAAATAGTTTCTTTACCAAAATTATATATTTGTCATTATGTCATTACTAGATTATTAAAAAGTTAAATGAAAACACAAAAGTTAATATTTGATATATAATTAAAATATTCGAAAAAAATATAAAAAAATAATTTTCAAATTTAAATAATATTCAAATTTTATAATCGTTTTATTGATTCAAAATCGGCCATCTGAAGATTAATAATTACGATATAATTAATTTTCAAAGCGTGTTTTAGTCGCAGGAACTAGAATGTAGCTTAGTCAGTTCTATTGAAGAGACTGTTAATGAAAATGGTCCGGATGGCGCTGTTGGATTAAGTACTGGTAGTTTAGCATCAAGCAGTAGTTCAGGTTCTGAGACACGAATAAAAAATACAAATTCGGAATTACCACTATCAATGGGAACATCAGAAAATTGCGATATGACGAATGATTGTTCAAAACCAACTATATCTAGTGGAGCAATACCAAAAAGTATCAGTTTCGATATGACTGCAGAACGCGGAGACAAGGAATTGTTGGACGATGATCAGAAAAATAAAAGAAGTTTTTTTGGAAAATTGAAAATGTCCTTACGAAATCGACGGGGTAAAACAATTCGTGGCACTGATGATATCGGCAGATGTTATGATCGAGAAGCTATGGGGGATAATATTGATGTAGGACGGCATAGATTACGTAGAATAATGTCGGAAGATGTATCATCTACTAGTAATGCGAGTTGTGGTAAATATTGTTTTCTTTGATATTTTATATTACCTATGCCTATAGAAAAATAAAACTAAAACTGAAATCAAAACAGAATAAAAAATAATAATAATAAAAAAAAAAACAACGATAAAAATGGTTTAAAAACTTTCTAGATAGTACGGATGATATTTTAGCTAAATATAGAAGGAAACCAAGTGCAGCAAGTGATACAGCATCAGTGGAAAGCAATCAATCTCGTACAAAAGAATCAATTGAGGATGAAAGACTTTTTATAGATCCAAATAATATTGAAATTTCCTATGCATTTTCTGATGCAAAAAGAAAATTACGAATGGTACTTAGTACAGCTGATCTTCAACATATTCCTTGGAATGCTACATCTGAGGTATTAAATCTTGTAGTTATATTGAATATTTTATGTATTTATATATTTTATAAACATAATATAATATTAATAAAAAAATACTTAAAAATAATTTATTTATTGCAGCGTAATTATTGGTCACAAAAAGAAAATGAATTAGTTGCTTTTTTACAATTGCAATTGGCAGAAGCTATTAATTTACAAGATAGAGCATTAATAGCACATCTTCATGAAACATTACGTTGTATTAGATTATTTAATGATGATGGATGTAGAAAATTATTCAAATCATTGCGAGAAGATTATCAAAAACGATCGCCTTATATTGCATACTTAATCAGATGTCGACAAGGATTACTTTCTACATTGGCTCATTTGGATAGGTATAAATTTTGATCTTATAAAAATTTATCCTATACACTGGTATCTTGAATATATACAGAATGACCTAATTGAATCATTTTAAAACTATTGATAGTACTAAAAAATACATAATTATATATAAGTAAACAAAGTTGATTTTCATTAAATTTTTACATAACTAATTAACTTATTTGTATTGCATTATGTGTCTTCTAAAATCTTTCATTTCATTTAATTTCATTTGTCTGAAATATTTTTTCGTATCATCAATTTGAAAATATAAAAAATTGCTTTAAAAATAAAATATTCTAAATATACTTAATTATATAAAATAATTATTATTATAATAAAATAATATTAATGTGATGGTAATTTTATGCAATTTTAGATTGTGCATTAGAGTAAAATGTGACCGTGATGCTATTAATAATCATCTTGTATCTGTTTGTGTAAAAGTTTTTTTGGAAAAGAAAGAATCTCTTTTACTACGTTTTTGTGATGAATTTAAAAAATTGACATTGGCAGATGAGAAACAAGATTTAGTCGATAACTTCTTAAGCAAACTTCATACAAAAATGGACAATGATCCAATTTGGCAATGTTAGTAAATTTATAATTATATCAATATAAAATATTATTATATTTTATTATAAAATATTAAAATATGATAATTAACCATAAACGTGATTGATCACGCTGTTAATATAGGTGCGTGCGAAAATCAATTAAACTTGGCAAGAGCTGTAGTTGAAAGGACTGTGATGGCACGTGTTTATCATAATGCACTTTATCCAAATGGAGATGGTGATATTTATAGGGACCAATTACTTCAAGATCACATTAAAAAACTTGCCAAAGTTGTAACACCGAATCATAAGGACTTACGAATCCCTAAAATATATCATTATGAATGTCCTTGGCCCTGGGCTCAAGCAGAATTAGCTGTGATTTCAGCATATAAAACACCTAGAGATAAATTACAATGTGTTTTTCGTTGTGCAACTACTATCATGAATCTACTTTCAATGGCAACTGAAAGAGGAGTACCCGCAGCTGATGATCTAATCCCTGTACTAGTCTATGTTATCATTAAAGTAAGTTATTCTTGTTTCTTAATGTATATATACAAAATGTTAATATATACATATCTTTTAGAATTAAAAGAATCAATTTTAGAATTAAAAAATATGAAAAAATTTAGTATATAAAAATATTAAGTTAAATTAAATTATAAGTAATTTAAATTTACGTAAAATGAGACATAAATAAAGTTGGATAATTCTATCTCAATCTCCAAAGATCTCTAAAAACAAATATATTAACATTTTATATGTAGATTATTAATATTATGTCATATAATTATGACATATTTATATATGCTTAGAATAATTTTTTCTATTAAATTTTTAGACTAATCCGCCGTCCTTGCTTTCAACTATTCAATACGTGGATAGTTTTTATGGAAATCGATTAGGAGGAGAAGAACAATATTGGTGGACACAATTTTGTTCTGCAATTGAATTTATAAAGACTATGGATTAAATCGTATTAGTTATAAAATTTCATTGAAATATGTAGAAATAGTGTATTATATTTTTCATTGTCGCTGTCATAATTTTTCAATAATTTTTGTTATTATAACTCTTTTAATGAGATTGTTATTCTCGTACTTTTCATTATTTTTATTATTTTCATGATCAGCACTTTGATATTATTAATATCAATACTATATTATCATTACTATTTTCTATCTTTAACTTTTGTTAAAATTGCTCTTGTTACTATTATTCTATGCTATTATTCTTATTGTAATTGAAATATCTATGATATTTCAATTATTTTTATTGCTCTTATCATTGCTAGCGCCATTTTTATTGTAATTTGATTGATTTTAAATAGCAAATATTAACACTATTATTTATATTATTATTATTATTTTTATTTTTATTGTTATTGTGTTGTTATCATCAACATTGATAATATTATAATATAACATTGTACATTGTGATCATTATTAATATTACTGTTATTATTATTTTTAATTTTATTATTTTCAATCGTATTAAACCATTATTAACAATTATTTCTATAGTAAAGAATATAAGTGAATCAATATTCAATGAAAAATTTTAAATTATTATAATTTCTTAAAAAAAAGAAAAATTATACTATAATCAACTTGAAGTTGAATTTTAAAGAGTGAAAACCTTATTTTCACAGTTCTTCCTTCATTTTTTTTAAAGATGTTTTTATATCATGAAATAAGAAAATAAAATTACTTTTTTTTCAAAAATTTGAAAAATTCAATCGGCTATCGATTACAGATATCGAAAAAATTTTTTTGTAATTAAATGTAAAAATTGAAATTTTTCATTAAATTTTTTCAATTTCCAAACTTTTATAATTTTTTTTCTTCAAATTATTGAATTTTAAATATTAAGATTAGACGAAAAATTTAAAAAATATTAAATTTTTATCATTTTCAATATTCAAAGTTCAATAATTTAACAAAAAAAAAAAAAAGTAAAGTTTTTGAATAATTGTAAAGGAAAGATTTCAATTTTCAATTTTTCAGATTTTATAATTGATTGAATTTTTTAAATTTTTGAGAAAAAAAATATCATTCATTTTTTAAGAAAATGAATAATAATAAAAAAACAAATAAGTAGAGATTATATACTTTAAAATAAATTCGGACTAATTATTGTATAATTTTTTTTTATGAAATTATAGTAATTTAAAATATCGTCTAGTTTTCATAGAGTTCATTTATATTCTTTACTATATATTATATTATACTTATTGAATATAGCATATAAAAATGGTATATATGAATATCTTTTTAAAGACTTTCTAAAAGATTTGATACAATAAAAAAAAATCATATTATTCAATCAATTTTTAAAAAAATGTATTTGGTTATTTTTTAATAAATATGAGATAAATATCTTATATAATAAAAACAAAATTACTTGTATTAAATTATACTAATAATGACTTAATACTCTTGTATTAAAAATTTTTATTTTAATCAAAAACATGTATAAAAAAGGAAAGTAATTTAGAAAGTTAAAGCGTTTTCAAATGATTTTAAAATTAATTAATGATTTTTAAATAAGTGTAAAAAGTATTTTTACAATAATTAATTTCAACAAAAACATTGTAAAATTTCATTTATATAATTTCAACAAATAAATATGTACATATTTATCAAAAGTCTACAGAATAAATTAAAAAAAATTATAATATATACCTATGTTTTAAAAATATTAATAAATTAACAAATTTAGATATTAGTGAAGATGTATAATAAATATTCATATAATAATATTTCATTAAATATATAATAAATATTATAAATGAAACATAAAAAAAAAATTTATTTAAAATATTACATAGAATGTATGGGATCATTTAAAATTATGAATTAAATTATGAATTAGGAAAATAAGAAAACAAAAATATGGCGAATACAGCGATTTTATCATTTTTTCATAAATTAAAAAATAATTCATTAAGAAATAATTGCAATAAAAGTTGCCAAAAAATTTGAAAATAATTTGTTAATAGATTTAATTATTATATGTTAATTTTTTTTATTAATATAATGATAAGATAAAATGCAAGGCAGTAATAAAAAAAAATAAAAATTATTTAAACTGTATTTCGTGAATGTTTTTTGTATCTTATTGATGAGATAAAAAGAATAAAATTCATAAAATCTTGAAATTCACAAGAGGGAAATTATTTTATCGGATCAGAATATTGTATCTTTAGATATAAATATTATAATTGAAACATAAAAGACAAAATTTGTTTAAAATATCACATGTACAACATATGAAACATTTATAATTTAAATAATTTATAATACGAATTATGAAAATAAGAAAAGAAAAATATGTCAAAAATGTAAGCATTCTTAATAATTTGTAGTTATCTAAAAAAAAAAAAAAAACGATTTAAATGAATTAAATTTAGATTTTAAACAATAGAAATATATATCTTCAAATAAAAATATTATGATCAGCTATGAATATCCATTGGATAGATAGCATATTTTGAATGGATATCTGAAATAAAAATAAAATTTCTGAAATAATAAAAAATGGATTAAGAGAAAATAAAACATAAACAAAAAAATTAAAATAAATTATTATAAATTTATAAAAAGATAAAAATATAATAATATTCATACTTATAATAATTTCTCTCTATATATACATCAATGTAATATTTGAAATCATATAAAATAAATCACAAAAGAATATGACATACTCATTTAATAAATTAAATTATTAATATTTATATGTCGATGAGTTTTCATTTCAATGCTCATAGAATAATTGAATCATAAAATCATTTATAAATAAATAAGAAATATGTTTATTTTAATAAATAAATAAGTTATATATTTTTAATATAATATTATAAATATTATAATATTATTTTAAAAATTATAATATTATATACAATTGTTTCCACATAATCCACGTTTATAAAATATCTAAGAACAATGACAAATAGATTATGATATAGCATTATCAATAATAAGAAGCTGAAATCCATTCGTGTCTAGGCTATCTACAACTATGATTGTATATTTTTATTAATCTAACATAATAAATTTTAAGAACTGTTTAATTGATTCGCACATCAATATAGTATTATTAAAGGATTTTATAATGCTACAATTCTCGATTAAAAAAATTGAAATATCCAATGATTTCTGAAATGGATTAAAAAATCAATGCTGACAACTGAACCATCATTGATATATAAAGGTTACTGTAACAGAAAAGAAAGACGTTTAGTTTTAAATTTATTGGACAACAATAGAAATCTGAAAATTATATGAAATAAAATAGCGCAAAATAAACAATGTATCTATTAAAAAATTAAATTTATGGAAAAGATAAATAAAATATATAGTAAAATAACAATAAAATTATTAAAATTATTAAAGATGTGATTGATATCGTTATCTTTTTAGAAATATTATGTTTAGTGCAGTCTATGTAAGTAAAGAATTACTTATTGTGATAAAATCTGATGGATTATTTTTTAGATGGATGAAACTAATCCATTGAAACGGAAATCACTCATTGTAATAGTTGGACTCTGATCACTTATCAATTACAAAATGGGTGTTAATAATCTTTTGAAATAGAAACTATTATTGTGATTGAAATTGCCTGTTTATCATTTACGGATATTCGACAAGGGATAAGAAATGCTAAGAATTTATAAAATTTGATTGTTCTTGATTTGATTAATCAACTTCTTTATGATTTACTTGTAATTCCAAACATGATACTGATTATTCTATTCTAAGGCCCTCATTTTTTCTGAGAGAAAAGTCTTCTTTGCTGCAGAAGAAGACTTAAAAAGGGCGATTCTTACTAAATTTGATTTCTAATGAATTGTAATAATTTTGGAATAGACATTAGTTAGACGCATATGAAAATATAATATTACAGGATAGTTAAATTTTTGAAAGGTAAAAGGTAAAGAATTTAGAGTAATAAGAGAAAAATTTACGACTAGCATTGCTAGCTTGATTCGATAATTGGAAAGATTTTTAATATACAATTTGATAATAATGAAGCCTAAGACAAATAAAAGATTTGTTTAATGCATGTCTACTTAAAAAAAATTTTAGATAAAAGAACTTGTTTTTTCAAGTGTTCGAAGTTTATTTCTACACATAACATTCCAATCATTTTCAGATAAAATTTGATTGTTGCTTGTCTTTTTTAGACCGCGAAGTTTCTGTTTTCGAATATTCTATCTTTCCAAAACTTATCTTTTAAATTTTTATCTCTGAAATTTTTATCGTTAATATCTCGAAATTCGCTTTTTTGGCTTTAAGTGTTCTATTTTTTTGTTCATATGCGAAGTTTAATTTTTGATTATTTTAATTTAATTATTTTATTTAATTATTTTCGAATATTTGATAGCGCAAAGCTTGATTTATATTACATCTATTTTTTTTAATGATTCGTGTTCGTACTTGCAACAATAGTATTGTAATGATGATGGTGGACGTAAGCTAATAAGCTATTTGTAGGATGCTCTTCGATAGATGTAACAAGTGATTATATTTTTTAAAGATGAGTGGACTATATTATTGGTTACTCGTGCGATATGTGTGTCTATGAGAGATATGAGTCTCTCATAATTGTACAGCAGATAATCGTGTTCGATAATCAGAGCATATGTTTACAAACTATTTAATTGTCATATCCGACAACTACGACGTGATCATTATAAAAGTCTCTTTATCAATGAAGCTCGTGCCCTCAGAAAATCAGAAAATTTCCTATTTCAATTGAAAGGATTTCTCAGTGGGATATAATAATAACCAATAATATTCAGTGCCTGATTCGCGACACTCTCAAGTTAAAGGAAAATTCTTCGCTTAGGGTGATGATTTGTATATAAAGATTTCAAGACAAACAGAACAGCGTATCTCTTTTATATTTTCTCGAATTAGAATGGTATTAATTGTCGCTGAGTCAATTGTGTTTGAAATATGTTACCCTCGGTAACATCGGTTCAGTCAGACTGGGTTATATCAAAATATACAATTATAAGGATTGGTTAAACTTTTAAAAATAACAGATTTCTCTAGCAAATTCTCAGCTAACATCATCTTTTGTTTAAGCCTAAGAGACGTTTGCATACGATAATAAAAAAAAAAAGGATTTCAAGGAAAAACTATGAGGAATTTCTCCGAATAAGTTGTTTATAAATCTCGCAAGTAATAAATGTTCGCAAAAAATTCGAAAGCTGCTTTTGAATATTACTGGGCGAGACTGTGTTTTTGTTTTTG